GCATGTGACCCGCAGGCATGTGACCCACGAGGCATGTGACCCGCAGGCATGTGACCCACGTGTCATGTGACCCGCAGGCATGTGACCCACGTGTCATGTGACCCGCAGGCATGTGACCCACGTCTTTGGGGGCGTTTCTCAATTTGCACACTCGACCGCACTTGCATTCTCGTACTCGTTTTTCGTCGCCGAAGACCAGTTCCGATACTCAAGAACAGAAGTACAGAGGACAGTAAAAATCCTAGGATGTCGTCCTTGCCCCGCCCCAAATGTCTAGGATACATCGGTTGCATCCTTGCCAAACGGGACCAATCCCATGATTCATTGCATTCGAATTTGTCCTTGGGAGGCAACTTAGGGAGACCGGTCTCGCCAAGACCATAAGTACAATCTTTGTGTTCCTGGTATTGAGAAACACCACAGGTTCCTGAAATTACGGGACATTTCCTGCTGGCCAGTAACCTGTTAATAGATGACTAGAGCAGGCTGTATTGTCCTGTGATATGTTGGTGTTGTGCCCCCCCCCCCAGCCCAGCATCAGTGGGATGGATCCTCCTTTTGGGGATGCCTTTCAAAACTGCGCTTTCGCTGACCAAGTGCTGACCAGCACGGACCTGCTGGCGAACAGCTCCGACCCGGACTTCATGTACGAGCTGGTAAGCGATCCGGCGCATGTGCTGTCGTAGATGCTGCTGTGCTCACAGAGGAAGACGGGGTATTTCAGGACTGGCGGGGGGGGTAGTCTGTCGGAGTTACTGCAGATAGTGAGAGCCCTCGGGGAACAGGAGCGAGGATTGGGTGCGGTATTGGAGTGGGGGGTGCGGTATTGGAGTGAGGTGGGACTTTGTGACCCACCGCAGCTGGTCTCTTCTGAGAAAGCCAGCTCAATTCCACTTAGCTCATTCTGCAGGTGCGGAACTATTTTCATGCTGAACGAGGAAGGTTACGTACGGTACAGGGGGGCATCCCGCGTTACGGTCCGGCCCCGGGCCCCGTGGAGTATCTGTTTCCATTTCAGCGAAGTTAAGATGAAGACAGTTCGTATCAACAGTGTAAAACAGTCCAGTACATTATGTAATGGAATTGGCCGTCCAAGATGAGCAAATTTCAACATCTGGAAAATCTGATACTTTATAAAAGCTGGAAAGTGCTTTCTGCTTAACCAAAGGGAAGTAGAGTAATGCATAAATGTATGGTTGTGTGTATAAATGATGTAGTATTTTTTTAGAGAGGGAAAGGGCAGTTTAGGACCCTGTTTGTGACAGTGACCTTTGTGGAGCATTCACAGAAATGTCACCTTGATGGTACAATTAAAGGTTCCTGTTTGTGACAGTGATCTTTGTGGAGCATTCACAGAAATGTCACCTTGATGGTACAATCAAAGGTTCCTGTTTGTGACAGTGATCTTTGTGAAGCATTCACAGAAATGTCACCTTGATGGTACAATCAAAGGATCCTGTTTGTGACAGTGACCTTTGTGAAGCATTCACAGAAATGTCACCTTGATGGTACAATCAAAGGAACATGTTTGTGACAGTGACCTTTGTGAAGCATTCACAGAAGTGTCACCTTGATGGTACAATCAAAGGTTCCTGTTCATAACAGGGTCTCAGTGCTACCAGCAGTGTGTGTGTGTGTGTGTGTGTGTGTGTGTGTGGGGGGGCATGTATATATTATACTGTGGGGACCACATGTTCCCCCACACTGTGATGATAACCTGGTGTTTTGATGTCGTGAGGACTGTTCTTCCAGTCCCCACAAGGAGAAACTGACTTTTATAAAAAATTTTGCACTCAAAAACAACTAAAAATGCCAAAAGTCTTGTTTGTTGTTTGGTTACTTATAGTTAATCTTAGGGCTGGGTAGGGGCAAAGGTTGTCATTGTTGGGATTAGGGATTTGTCCATAGTAATAAATGGATTGTGCTCACAAAGATATGAATTCAAACGTGTGTGTGTGTGTGTGTGTGTGTGTGTGTGTGTGTGTGTGTGTGTGCACGCGCCCTGCAGTTACATGTTCTTAGTCTACCAAAATGTAAACTGTGTATCCTTTGCGATTTCCAGGATCTCCCAAAATCAAAGAAACAAAATATCTTTAATGTTGCCATACCAATTGTATCCTCTGTGGCTGTTGCTCTACATTTATTACAAGTTTATTGCCTCAGAATCAGTGAGCCATCCCACAGAAAGCTACTAATGCTGTGTCCTTGGCAAGAAGCCTCCTTGTCTGAAGTTAATGTGCTGTAGATTTGCCACGGTAGACCAGCAGTGGTGCCAGTTAAGACAAGACAGAAAGTTTAGGCTGCAAGCGTTCTGCCAACATGGGCAAGTAACGTAGACCTAATCTTGTTTATATCATAACAGAAGTGTTTAAATATGTGCTGTTTGTCTCTAGGACAGAGATATGACTTCCAGACAAAGCCCGAGAGCAGATATCTTTACCATCGGGGATTGCAAAGAGATTGAGGGTATGGAACACTTGCCCGAGGCCTTGGACAGTGACCCCATGTACAGCTCGAACTTCGAGCAGTGGGACACCTACTGGGAGGACCTGACTAAGTACACCAAGCTCACTAGCTGTGACATCTGGGGCACAAAGGAGGTGGACTTTCTGGGCCTGGACGACTTCTCCAGCCCCTACCAGGACGAGGAGGTGATCAGCAAAACGCCGACGCTGGCGCAGCTCAACAGCGAGGACTCGCAACCGGTGTGCGACACGCTGTACCACCCGGACCTACTACTGGGCCAGAAGCCGCACGCGCTTCACGCTTCGGCCAGCTTCAAAAAGACGGCCCCCAGACCGGCCGTCCCCGGCTCATCCTTGGCCCGGGGTCTACCAGACTTCGCCGAGGGTTGCCAGAAGGCCACTCGGCCTGTGCCGTCCACCACCGAAACCATGTGCAAGGGCCAGATGCAGGGACCCAAGGTACTCTGCCCAACCTCAGACAGCAAGGACTATGTGTGCAAAGCCAAAGTGCACATCAACTCTCCACGCCGGCCTACGGTAGACGTCAAGTTACCACAGGCTAATATCACCATAAAGTCCCACTTCACTGAGGCCCCGGCCGCCTGCATCACTGGCTCCCTATCCGGCGCCGCCGCCGTCGCCATTGCCACCCCTCCGACTGAAGAGAAGGACACACCGGAACCCCAGCTGGGGGTGCCGCCCGTTCCAGAAAAGGGCATCGGCCAAGTGGTGTCCTACAAACTGTTCCCCGTGACTGGGGACAGTCAGACCCTGGGGGCTGATGCCTTACAGGAGAAAAAGGAAGAGGAGCACAACTACTCGCTGTTCCTCATGCAAGGAAAGCACGCGGGCGAAGAGGAGCCCGAGGCGGAGGACGAAGACGACGAGGAGGAAGAGGAGGAGGAGGAGGAGGCGGAGGACCTGGAACTGGATGACGAAGATCACGACGAGGGCTTCGGCAGCGAGCATGAGCTCTCCGAAAATGAGGAAGAGGAGGAAGAGGACGATGAGGACTATGAGGGTGACAAGGATGACGACATGAGCGACACGTTCTCGGAGCCCGGTACGTGACCGGCGTTGGGTGGGACGTCGTGGGCCTTTTATCCTTTTCCTCCCAGGCTTCCCTCCCCAGCTACACTTACTCTGGATTTTACGTGCTCTGTGCTGCACAGGTTTTCTATGGGCTTTTTCTCTCTGTCAAAGTTAACGCGATAATGTGTTAACGTGTCATAACATGTTATTTCATTGATCGTTCATTAATTTTGACACTCCAGTGCGAGAATAGTATGACCCAAGATTTTTTTAATAGAATTTTATTTTCATACTGAATATGTAAACTATAAAATCCTTTGTAAAGGTATGGCAACACAACTGTATAGCCAGTTAATCCCCAAGATGTGCGATTTAATCACAATTTATTTGAAAAATGATCATTTGACAGCCCTATTAATAATCTTTGCTAATATTGTTCTTCGATTGGGGTGTCAGAATTGGCACGATTAAAGTAAAGGCAATCAAAAAAAATAACACATTATGACTTTCAAATTAACGAAAACACGTTAAGTCTGACAGTCCTTTATATATATATATATATATATGACTATAAATTTTTATAAATTATAAATGTTGGCCAAAAAAAAAAAAAGATTTTATTTGTGCAAATAAAATACCGTAAATTTATTTGGTTGTTAAATGTTAACAGAATTAATCTAGTCTTAGAACAGTTCCTTCTTAATTTGTAAAGACCACAAACAATGAATCATCCATTCATCCATAAATCTTCCTACCACTCTGAAAGGGCAGTTTCAGAGAGATTCACTAATTCCCAGCCGTTCTTCCTTACGGCATTTGATTTAACGTAATCGATAAATTAAAGTCACTTTTAAGCTAACCAATTTAGCACAATGAGATTTTAATTAAAATCTTTATTTTAATAGATTCGGTCAATCGCTCAGCGGAATGTAATTAAATAAGGGCTGAGCCAGATGGAAAGCCAGCACAGTTTGTGGGTTGTGGGAATTAGGGTCGATAAACACTGGTGAGTATTTACCAACGTCACTTTGACTATGCAGTAAACTCATTTTAAGAGACTGAGCCGCAGCTGTGGGTAGGCCGTTCTCTCCGAGGAACCATGAGATGCACACGCAGTCAAAAGTATCACTTTCCCTTTTTTTCGGTGATGAAGAAAGAGGATGCAATTACAGAAGCATTCTACAGAACCGTAGGTTTAGTGTAAACACTGTTTTGTCCTTTATCTCCCATTACGTTGCTCTGTCAGTGTCATTAACATACTAATGAGGTCTGGATCACAAAGCTTTGGAACACAGAACCTCGCGTTCAAGTTCAAAAGAGCTTTGATGTGGGTAACAAAAGATTGAAGTGTAGCAGCTCTACTTTTTGGATGCTGAAGGAACTGCACTCAAGATAAAAGGTTGCAGCAGTTTTGGTTACTTTGTATCACACTGTCACGTCTAGAGAGCGGTAAAGAGCGCGGCTCCCCGCGGAACTCACCGGCTCCCCCTCCTTCCCGCTAGGATGCGACGACGCCACGGTGGAGGACATGAAGGGCGTGGCGGTGGGGATCTCGCGCAAGAGGGGCAAGCGGCGCTACTTCTGGGAGTACAGCGAGCAGCTGACCCCCTCGAAACAGGAGCGCATGCTGAAGCCCTCCGAATGGGACAGGGACACGTTGCCAAGCAACATGTACCAAAAGAACGGTCTTCACCACGGTGAGGCGCTATTTTGGTGCGGGTGTGTGTGTGTCTGTATACACATACAGACACAAATATGTGTGTATATATATATAGATATATATGTATATATAATAGGTGTGTATCGATGTAGCTATACATTATATAAAAAAATGTCGATATGACATATATTTAATTATGTGTACACGTATATGTATGTGTATGTATATGTGTATAAAGAGTGTGTTTTATGTCATTATATATGAACAGTGTGTGTATATATGCGAGTGTGTATGTGTGGGGGAAAAAAAGAGCGACGGACATGTTTTACATTCCTAGTGGCTCTTAACTTCCTCAGAGTTAATGATTGCTAATCCTGCCCTAAAGAAGGAAATAAGAATTACAAAATAAGCTCCGCCTCCATGTGTTTGGCAATCTACGTTTCCATTTAATAAGTAGGCTGCCAGTTTGTCTTGTCTTGCCAAGGGGCAGCCAGGAATTCTGTTGCCGGGGTGGGGGTGCATTTTCTCAATCTTATCCCCACAAACACCAAAGAATTTGCACACTATGCATAGACGAGGAGAAACTGTGACACGCGGTCGAAGGAGTTGTCTTGGTAGGAGATGGAAGACGTTGCGTGTTGTATAATCACAGGAATTTAGGCAGTATTTTGAACGCCTGTGTGCTCATATGCAGATATACCTCCAAGTAGACAGGGGGTGCTGTCCGAATGTAAAACAGAGCATCAGATCAGTTTAATTCAGTTCCAGTCGGTTGTATGGGATTTGGACTTTCCCACCTGGTTCCCCATTTACTCTTGCGGTTTTTCTGCTGTTCAGGTGATTTATAAGTTCAGTGTTGTGCGTGTTTGTATGTTTTTTTTGTTTTTTTTTCCCTCGTCATGGATATTTTTGGGGAAATTAAAGCATTTGCTGTAGATGACTCTCCCTTATGAAAGGTGAACCCTGTAATGCAGGCTTTGTGTGAGTCTCCCCTGAGGTCAGCACTCCTATATTAAACGTCAGCTGTTAGACTAATAAATGTACCCTATAATGCTATGTGTGTGTGTGTGTGTGTGTGTGTGTTAGAGCTTGTTTGTCAATGGACCAATGCGGCCTCTTCTGGATTTTAGTTCCCTTGCAATCTAGGGTCACTGTAACCCTTATTAAACAGCTGGTCACTAATGATGGATGGATGGATGGATGGAATTTCCAGCACTAGCAGTGCCGCAGGAACTTTCCAGTCAGACTTTCATTGCTGTCCCCTCCCTCCACCCCACTCCTGCCATCCCCTCTGCGTGGCCCGCATGCGTGACGCTGTTGCCTGCCGTTGCATCAGGCAAATACACAGTGAAGAAGTCCCGCCGGACGGACGTGGAGGACCTCACTCCCAATCCGCGGAAGCTGCTGCAGATCGGAAACGAGCTGCGGAAGCTGAACAAGGTCATCGGCGACCTGACCCCCGTGAGCGAGCTGCCGCTGACGGCCCGGCCGCGTTCCCGCAAGGAGAAGAACAAGCTGGCGTCCAGGTAGCCGCTCGTCCGCCCCGCCACCGGTACCGACACGCTTCCCTCCATCTGTCAGGCAGTTTCTATTCTTACATCTCATCACTGGATATTTATACCGGCACATTAATAGAACAGAACAATAAACACATATATAACAGCATTAATCCACACCATTAATCACCGACCACACCCGAATCTATTCAGTGTCCCAAATTCTTAACTCTGCCATTCCTCCACGCCTACCCACACCCACCCTTACTCTTATCACACCCTCAGACATTAAACTGGGGGGGCGCGCAATCTTATCCGCATAGGGCCGGTGTGTATGCAGGTGTTTGGGATAACCTTTAGGTCAGCTATTCAAACCCCGGTGTGAGGACTCTTCAGCCAATCAGTCGTTTAACTAGTAATCTGGATAAGATCGGGTTAAATTGGATAATCGCGGGGTAAGAATTGTAAGAAAAATAGAAAAAAGAAGTATAGAAATAACCCAGACCATAAATCAATAAGCAATAGATAAATAAATGAAATAAATTATGGTAAAGCTGATTTACATTATATATACACTATATAGACAAAAGTACTGGAACACCTGGCCATCACACCCACAGGAACTATTATGACATCACATTCTAAATCCACTGGCATCAATATGGAGTTGCCCCCCCCCTCCTTTGCAGCTATAACAGCTGCCACTCTTCTGGGGAGACTTTCCCCAAGATTCTGGAGTGTGTCTGTGGGAATTTTTGCCCACTCATCCAGGAGAGCATTGGTGAGGTCAGGCACTGATGTTGGCTGTGAAGGCCTGGCTCACAATCTCCATTCTATTTCATCACAAAGGTGTTTGATGGGGTTGAGGTCAGGGCTCTGTACAGGCCAGTCAAGTTCTTCAACACCAAACTCACCCAACCATGTCTTTATGGACCTTGCTTTGTGGACTGGGGCACAGTCATGCTGGAACAGAAAAGGGCCTTTGTGTTCTCACAAAGTTAGAAGCATATAATTGTCCAGAATGTCTTGGTATGCATTGGCCAGGTCTTCCAGTACTTTTGTCCATGTCGTGTAAAACAGGGCGTAGAATTGGCTGTTAGTCTGCGTAAGTAAACAGCTCCTCTGGCGTAAGTGCTGATGTGTGTTCCTTTAGCTCATTTGCCGTGCAGATGTCTCGACTGCAGTCATCTTGTCCACAGATTTCTAACCTTAATATCTTTCGGGTTAATGACGTGTGTCAGGATAAAGCAAAGCATTAACTCCTGTGCCATATCTGCCCCCAGAGCTTGCCGGCTGAAGAAGAAGGCTCAGTATGAGGCCAACAAGGTCAAGCTGTGGGGCCTGAACACAGAATATGGTAGGTATGGTGTAGATGCACCCATGCTGAGATGTTTAGTGGTATTGTTAGACGTTAATGGGTGTGCCTTAAGCCTGCAAAGCCAACGTTTTGGGGCCTCAACAAGGAATACGGTAATAATACTTGTGTGGTCAATTACTTAATCATAATAAATACTGAAATTTTGACCAAGTGCCAGCAAGATTGCTTCTCTTCATCTCATATAACCCTGCCTCTATATTTTAGAGTGTAAAATTTTAATTTGTTAGGTTTTTTTTTTTTTTTTTAATACAAGGAGTAATTTCACAAGTATAATAAAAAAAAATAAACCAGGAAAACTAATAAGGCTGAATAAAAGCTTCTGTGATCTTAATGAAGGTTTAATTAGTAAGTATTGAGCAAATTTTAATTAATCTTCATATCCGCTAATATGCCAGGAATGGGAATCTGCTTAAGCTTCAGTACCAACAATGAAAAACAGGAAAGAAAAGGCTGCATTGAGGGATGGTTTAAGTTATCTGGTGGCCCTAGACCAGGGTTCTTCAAATCTGGACCGTGATTCCGATTCCAGGCCTTGTTTTCAGTTCTCCCAGGTAGTTGTTTAATAATTACTGATTCTGATTGGTCAGAGGCTTCACACCTGACTGACAGGTAAAGGAAGGCTGGAAAACCAGCAGTGCCCTGGACTGTGATTTGAATAATAGGGCCCTAGACCGACATCAGCATGGTCACTCAGGTGTGGCTGGTTAAACTGGCCAAGTAAAATAACCTGGGAGCTACTGAGAAGGAGGTGTCCTCCCAAATGAGCCGGGTCCTGATGTTCCCCGTGGTCTTAGTGTATAGTTCACAGCAGTGTTTCCCAACTCAGTTTTCGGGGCCCCACTGACGGTCCACGTTTTTGCTCCCACCCAGCTCCCTGAAGGGGACTGGGAGGTAGCAAAAATGTGGACAGTCTAGAAGGGAGCAAAAACATGAACCGTAAGTGGGTCCCTGAGGACCAGGATGGGAAACGCTGCTCTATGCATGAATCCTCCCTTGTTCACGTCTAAAGCGGTAACCTGCTGTCCGTGGCTTTGCAGACCGGCTCCTGTTTGTAATTACTGCCATTAAGGATGACATCGTGAACAGAGTACAGAACCTCTTCGAGGACAGGGCAACAAGTATGGTCGATAAACTGGATCGACTCATCAAGGAAACACTCGGTAAGCAACTTAATACATCTGAGTATCTTTACTGTGTTAGGTTACAAATTAAAACGGGCATTATATTATACATATATTGTATACTACTATACTATACTCAGTACCAGTCGAAACCTGTGTTGCGCCCTAGGCAAAATTTTGCCACCCACGCTCCTCATCCAAGGTAATGAAAAATGCTTGCTAAGTCAGTACCCCATCAAAATATGGCATCAGAGGTTGGCCGGTACTGATTATACTATACATCTATGGTATTTTCTATGCTATTGTAAATAAATCACAGTTGTAGCAGTTAATTGCCCATATGGCTGTTTATTGTTAGCTGCATTGTTTAGTACAATGTGACTACGGACCGTTACGAAGAGACCTACGGTGTTTGCTGCGGACTGTGGCCTGTTTTGACCGCTAATCGCTTTGTGTTCCCAGTGAGCTCACCAGTCGCTGGACAGACGTCAGACTTTGTGAACCAGATCCTAGAGAACACCAGCGGGGGGGATCCCACCGGGGGTCTTGTTGGGCTCCGCGTCCCGACATCAAAAGTGTAGGGTGGGCCACGCGGAGGAGATGAACCCGTCCGCATCATCTGTGTCCCATTACGTTCTGCATGTGCAGGTCATATAGAGAAACATCTACATGCCTAGTTTGAATATATATACCTAATCTTGTGTATGTATATTTATATTATGCACTTGCATTTATACAGAAATTGTACTTATTTCTTTATCCACTTGTGTGGAAACTTGCCATTTGTTTGTTACGAGTAATCTGTCCAGCTACCGGTTTCAAACTCCAAGCCAATGTGTGAGAACTCTTCTCTCGTGGTATTTTCTTTAACGGGAAAAAAACAACAACAAACATAACAGTCAAACAAAATAATATCGGTATTTGTCGTAGCCTGAATACAGCATGTTTATCGTGGGAATCGGACAGTAGTAACTAGAAAATAAAAAATCACGTTGTAACAATGTCGGTTGTTTCTGTGCTCTGAAGAGAGGACGTAGCTAAATCGAAATAGCGCGGTATTCTCTCTGCACTAAGTGAAAGCGATGTGATTCGGGCCATCTGCTTACTACTGGAAATAAGTACCATTTAAGGTTGCCAGAGAATTAAAATCCCAACAGGCAAATGACCACAACAACAACAAAAAACTGGCATATTGCTTTGATCAGCAGGATGCGTCCGTGGAACGTTAACCGCTCGGGAAAAATGGCAGGCGGTCACACGTATGTTGAGACGTAACGGTTGACACAACGGGCAAATGAGGCTGCCGCGGCTTCCGTTGATCTTTTGCTGCCCTGCTGATAGATAGTGAGGATTTATATAGCTGTTAAAAGTAGCCCTGATGGATAATAGCTGTTCTGATGAAAATGAGGCTTCAACAGATAAACCACATACTATATTCCTCTGTGTACTTTGGTTCAGATCACTTTAACATTTAAAACACAATGGATTTTGTAAGTGGGCATGGGACAGGAAAGGTGTAATTCCTAAGTTTAATTTGTTAATATTTGTATGTACCAATCAATATTCATTGTGCCTTGTACTTCAGAGGAAAGGATGACAAGACTCTCCCAGAGGTTTAAAGGAAATATACTTTTTCACAGAAGAGAATGACATTGGGAGGGTGGAGTTTTTGGTTTTCTAATATATTTTAGGTCTTTATGATAATATGAATATACATTGGAATGTTGAAAATGTAGATATTTGCCACAGAGTCTGTGCATTGTATCATAAGATGGCTCTAAGGGAAACGCTTTCAGTTTTTGGTACTTGACTGGGCAAGGGGGGTTACTAAGAAAAAAAGAAGAAAAAAAGAAAAAAAAAAAAGACAAAACATTTGCACATTATACGTAGATTGTTTTTGTACCAAAGATGAATGCAACAAAAATGGCAAGTGGCCTGTGTAAGTAAGGCTTTGCACAGCTTACCTAACACCGTATTGAATGTAGAAAAAGTGGTTAGGGTCAGGGATACTCATTGAACTGTGAATTTCGTTTGGGTCCAATTATCAACGACAGGAGGTGTTCGTTTGCACCTGACGTAGGCCGGTGGTTTTGTTGGCTTCTTACGGAGATGTGCTGCTTTGAAAAGGGTAGTTGTGCTTTTTCTCACCCCATGTAGACTCTTGATGTTCTGTTATTATTTTTTTTTAAAGAACGTAGTGGTAAGAGAAGAATGTAAAAGCATCGGTATATAGTTTTTTTTTTAAGCATGTTTGTTAAGCATTACCACAAATTACCAAATGGTTTAGTAATTGTATAGTTTACATATACAAATGAAAACTATATAATTTAAGTACTGTATGTGTTCTATATAGATATACATTCTTTATATATATATGTGTATGTGTGTATATATACATACACACACACATGCATGTGTACGTACATACACACATTGCTATATGTTTGATTTATTTTTTTAGCTATTGGGTTGTTAAGCTTGATGCTCTCTAAAAATCTGTGTTCACATTCAAAAGGAAAATATTTCTTTTTTGTACATAAGTACGTTTCTTGTTTAGTAAAATTAATCCATTTACATGTATATAAATTTAAAGACTTTTGACAGAATGCTTGCACTGTATAAGAAGTTGAGATGGTCTGTTTCGTAGTATTCATTCATTTTTTTTTTGGAATATTCCATCTGAGAGGAAGGGGATAGACAATGTTTTGGCCTTCTAAATACAGACTGAATTGGAGGATTACAGAAAGCACTTTCCGATGCACACTTTCAGAAAATAAGAAAAATGTAGGAGAAAAGTTTTTTAATGGTAAATGATTGTCTGATTGTTTGTTAGTTTGGGGTAACGTGTGTACACATGCTCAGTGTTTGGAAATTATGGTGGCTTCCTTCAGACAGATAATTTACCAAGGAGAACAGCTTTAAGAGTTTGGAACAAATCAATTGACTCCCTTGTCATTTGTGTGGCTAATACAATCAAAACTGTGTGCTGAGAATTGAAATGTGATACTAATGGGATTTAATGTTTATAGCTGTGTGTCAATAACTGTACAAAACTAAATTTCGGTAGTGTGATTTTTAATTATTTTTTTTTTTTGCATACATCCTTTGTATAATGTCACGAAGGTGATCATTTACCAAATACAAACAAAAAAAACCTGGATCACACCTTTTTAGATTCCAGGCAGAGAACCCAAAAATGGAGCAAAAAATAAATAGACGCTCCCCAGGTTACGATGCGGTTATGTTCCGACAAAAATATCGTGAGGCAGAAATATCGTATGGCAAAAATGCATGTTAATACAGTACATCTAACCTATCAAACATCATAGACTAGACTAGCCTACCTTACAGATGCCTAAAACACTGACATTAGCCTACAGTTGGGCAAAATCATTAAGACAAAGCCTGTTTTATTGAAGTGTTGAATATCTCATGAAATTTATTGAATAATGTAAGTGAAAAACATTTACCCATCGTAAAGTCGAAATGTCGTAACATGGACCATCGTAACCCAGGGAGCGTCTATGTAAATTAAAAGAAAAAAAATGTATCAGAAAAACAAATGGACGTCCACACCTCCCCCAATAAGCTAACTGCAAGAACGACATGCATGACATGTGAAGCCTGATCCGAGTGCCTATACCGTTAGATCCGCAGATGGTCTAGAACGGTTTAATCTCAGTAGAAGCCTAGCTGAACTGAACTTCTTTCAGCACATTTCCTTGCTGCTGCATTTTTTTTCCCCTTTATGTCTAAAGAGTAACTTATCACCAGAAACATCAATATGTTACGATTTAATATTTCCACGGGCCTTTTACTTTGAGCAAACAAAATGCCAACTTTTTTTTCATGATTTCTCCAAATAATGAAATATTCTAAAAGAGAGACCGCGTGCTCTCTCGGAAACGAGAATGCTGTTTAAGCATTACGAATATTTTGTTTTCCTAGCTTGTTATTGTTACACTAGCAGTGTAGGCTAGTTTGTCTGTACCATCCATTCTCATGAGATGTTCATTTTGTAAATAAGCTATTGTTAAGCTAAGAAAATTCCCTTTAAATGCTGTGTAGAAGTGTATATAGTATGTTCAGTAATATATGAAATAATATATAAACAGAAAGCACTTTGTTTAAAAACAAAAACACAAAAACAAGAGCATTTTGTATAATTCTTCCATTTGCTGCTAAACTAAGCTAGTCAGAGCGCTGCAGTGACAGTTTGACTTCAATGGGTGGACATGGATCATAAGAAAATGAAGTCGAAAGGAAGGCAGCCAACCTTAGATAAGAAGGTTGTCATGTTCTGGTGACTTTGTCATGAATCTTCTGCCTTCAGTAGAGATTTCCTATGGAAACTGGATTCTGCTTTGAGATTTTTTTTCAGGTTGATGTACAGTGTGGACACGTCTCTTCTGGACGTTTCCAGATAATTATCTATTTTCGTTTTTGTTTGTTTTACCTTCTGTTCTTTTCGGCTCCCCATTTCTACTTTTACATAGTTGGGACCAATAGGTGTCCAGAGGTATTTGCCGAAGCTCTCGTTTTGTGAAAGGTTCAGTTTAAACAATGATAAAAAAAAAAAGTATCTCTGTACTGTACTGTACATTTGTTGTTGCCAGTGAGATAATACAGAGGACCTTTGCCTTGGTAACTCCATCCAGCCGCAAAAGTGTTGCCATGGCAACATTTCCTGGCTTTCATAGTACTGTCTAAAGCTAAAGCACTCCAGCTTGGTAATAGGCGCAAAAGGACAATATTAGTCATGTTGAAAATATCTATGATGAATGGTAGTATGGTTTAAAAAAATATATAAAAAATCCTAAAAGAAGTGTAATTGAATTAGATGTTTTATTGGCTGTTCACCAGAGCTGAAACTGCAGAAGTTACGGCAGGTTTTCACGTGTAACATGACGTACGCAAGCTGTGCAGCTTTACATCATATCCAGGGGACTCTGTGGCATTTTTAAAACAGAAACGGTTGCAGTTTAATGCCAGTAATTGTTCTTTCTGCTTACTTTATTACCTTAAGAGAAGAAATGGATATTAGTAAATGCATAGTTTAAGTGCATATTTAGTTTGATTCAAGATTTTCAAAAGTATTTTAACTGATAAAATGGGAGAGTATAGGTCCTTGATTTCTTTTATGTATTTTTTTTTTAGCATGCCGAGAGTATGTAGTTCAGTTTGTAGTGTATACAATAATAATGCTGTTGACTGTGCACTATGCAGATTTTACTCTCATGAGTAACACAGTATGTCGCTTCTTTCACAGCTTTCCAAGGATAAGGGAAGGGGCTTTTACCTGGATATATTATGGGGTGTACTTATAGTCCTATGGATATTATTGTGGTTCTAAACTACTGACCAATAAGGTTTGACTGTGTCTCCTTCCTTATAATGATACGGGGTCGTCCAAAGTAATTTGATAAGTATTTCTCTGAGGAAAGCTGGTCTTAATGTTGTCGACTTGAAAATGTTCTTTTACGCATTTTGTAAACAGTAGAATGCTCTATTTTGGACATCGGTTTATGGACGTCAGCCATGGATTCCGTCATTTTATTTCTTCCTCTTAAACTTTGTAATGTCTCTCGACAGATCCAGCTGAGATGTTTTGGCGTGTGCACAAGCAGGCGGGGGTTCGCTTTTGCAAGCCGCGTGAGACATAAACACCATTGTTGGTACATCTTTAACATCTATCATTATGGCACTAGGTTTATCATACATACGTAGTATAACTTGCAGAATCCCCTCCGATCTTTCGCCTGCAGAGATCTGTTATCCATCAATTGTACAGTATACTCAGCTGTTCTTTTCATAGAATTGAATAGAGTAGTTTATATTTTGCTAGAGAAACTGTGGAATTCTGGGAATGCATTTGGCATGGCCCTTTCTGCATGCAGATCAACTTTATATATGTGATATGGTTTCATTATTGGAGTTAATTGCACCCTGTGTGGTGCACACAATAGTAATATTAAAAACGATCAGTCTCAGTTATGACATAGTTCATGCTATTTCATATTTAAATTCAGATGTAGACTTCATGTGAGTTACATTTCTATTGGCCAGACTATTTGAGTAAAACATGCCAACAAGTTTCTTGCATTATAGGAAAAGCCCACATTGTATTTTATTTCCCAGTAGATTTAATCTATTTTTAATACAATGGTATTCTGGTGATTCAGGTGCCTTAAAATGAGAATTTCAGCTTGATCTCCTCATTCTTCTAACGTCACTTTTGTCACTATCAAGTTGAAGCTAATTTTAGCGCTTGAGTTTTTTTTTTGTTTTTTTGTTTTTAAATGATCTGTTTCACTAATGTGGTTATGTTTTTATTTTTTAATTTTTAAAAAAAAAACTGAGTCATGTTTTGTCTAAAGCTGCTCCATGATTTTTCGAGTCTAAAGATGAATGTAGTCTTCCTTCAAAAGATTTTTTAAAATGTTGAAATACAGATATGTCCAGTCTAGCAGTGGAAAGGCCTACCCAAAGAATGCTAAAGTTCAAGACTCAAATTATCTGTCTGTATATCCCTGTATGGTTTCCTATTAACTTATTTTTTCCCCCAAATTACTGTGTTTTTGTATTTAACAGTCTAAATGTTCAGATGTTTGCCTTTGAAGTCTCTACTCCTGTCTTTTCATAGCTTCACATCTATGCTGGTCATTTTAAATGTTTTTATTTTCCTGTTTTTTTTTTTTCTTTTTCCAAATGAGAAACTAGAAAAATGCTCTTCCACGCCACAATAAATAAATACTCATGTTTAATACAGTAAGCAGTAAGAAATTGGGCTATTTTGTGATTATCGTGGGGGGAGGGGGGGGGGGAAAGCTGAACTTGTAAAGCAGGGATGATGTCACAGCTGAAATGCTTGCTCCCCTGGTGGAACCTGAAACAATGTGCCTCTTAATGCCACGCTTCTGCCATTACTGTCCCGGTTTAGTTGCAGGAGGAGTGTCATACACAAAAAGCAAACGTTTGTCAGTGGGGGAAGACAGACAAACATCTGTAAACGAAACATGACACTGCAAAGCGTTTGCATTGTCAAACTGTCAATGTGAACACTTTGTAACTCAGACAAATAATAATGATAATAATAATAATAATAATAAATCTGAGGCCTCCCTATGCTTCCATACCTGAGTGATGGTGAACTGCACCTGAAGGTCACAGGTTCGCAAGACAAATGTTATTCTGCACATACTGGGAGACAAACGGAGTTCAATGCCCTGAATCACCTGCCAGGCATGTACTGAAAGTGCTGTGACCTTGCACAGCATTAACAGAAATCGCATGCTTTAGAATCTGCTGAAGACGGCAGCCATGTTGGTGCCAAACTCTATTCTTGAGTCAAGGCCAAAGCGTTTGATTGATTTTTGAGCCTAAAAATAACTATTTCCGAAACCGAGGAGGTCAGTTGGGGGTCCCCGTACCAGTTAGGTATGGGCCCCTTTATCCTACACTGTAGTGTAGACCTATCTACTCTTGCGCCTGGACACATGCAGACCATACAAAGACTACCAGTAACAGAACTCTGTCAGAAGTACCACAATCTCATCCACACGTTGCAATGAACTACATTTCCTTCCAAAGTTAAAATAGTCTAAGTGTCGGAAGTGATACGAAACTTTTTGTTGTTCTTAACGATGCGATATGAGGTAGTTTTGTGGTTTTCAAATACTGCTTAAAAAGCACAAAACTTTCAAATCCATGCTAAACTCGATATGTGAAGTCTCACCTTTTCTAGGAAGCAAAAAAAAATACAACACACTTCATGCACTTGTCGTGATGCTTATTATGTTGTATGGTATACTACTGGAGAACTAGCATGGGATATTTAGATAGCTACTGCTGTGTACGTTCTCCCAAAATGTAATGTTGTGTCACAGTAGGAAGGCTGTATTTCATTGCTAAGTGCTATAATAAATATTTTTGGTGACATATTTAAGCTAATCTGCAGAAGTGTATCCTGCTGAGACTAACCCTAACTCCATCCTAATAGTCATGTTAGTAACTGTAGTTAACATATATGCCTGTTCAAGACAATATCTAAACAGTTGTAATATTTATGTTGTTTAATTGTTGTGCTGGGATTATACTTTTGATGTTACATTTTGTTTTATTTTGAGGCACGACTGTTGGAGATAGTGAATTACAAGAGTTGTATGTGTACTAATGAGAAATAGACTTAGTTCCAGTCTGCTCGTGATACTGTGCCTCTTTTTTTATTATTTTAATTATTATTATCATTATATTTCACGGCGTTGTATCAGCCAGGAGTTGATACTACAATTGCTTGTAACTATTATAGTCTAGTTCTGTTATTGATTTTAATATTCAGAAATAAACCTTAGAAAATCATACTGGGATCCTGTTTGTACGTATCTTCCGCCGCTTTATATGTACTTGTAGTACTTGGAGTAAAAATGTTTTCAACAAATTTATTACGGTGAATAATTAAAAAAACTCAGATTTGAGCACCGTCAGGCGACGAGAAGTTACTTGGCGTAATAAATTGCATTAAGTTGCGTTAATACGTGTGATGCGTTAATACGTGTGATGCGTTAAGTTTTTAATATGGATTTGTGATTGACCCATAATAGGCCTAGATTTGTCATAATCGAGTTTTATAGACTTTCGATTAATAGATCACCCCAACCGTTCAACGCAACAGAAGACGGACGAAAAGGTAGATTGGCTAACAGTTAATTAAATATATAAACAACGCCACAGGTCCTAAAATTATTTTCATGCCGAGTCTCTTTCCATCAGGCCTATACTTAAGTTCGTTTTTATATATTACTATTTGATCATCATTCCAGATATTAGAACGTCCGCTACAGTACGTTTTTAACTATTAAAAAGATCAGGAGCTAAGAAAAGTTTAACTGAGGCTTGACTTTATTTTTGAAGGAAGATTGGCATCTGGGCTAAAATGCTCGGGGATATTAGTCATAGGGATAGACGACGGGACGGAAAACTTAAGTTGTTTTAAGTAGATTAACAATAGACTAACTAACAACTTGCCAGCTCATAACAACTACTTTTTACATGGGTCTCCGTCTTGTATAAACCTCACACTCAAAATCATGCGTAGTTCAAGACTATAAATATCAGTAAAGGAAGTCTTCTGCAAGAAAATGACACTACATTGCCAGTGTCGGTGGACAGCACATATACATATATACACACCTCCATTGGCTCACCCTGCAGGACGTTTCAGTTCATCATTACCGGTTGCTTTTGAAGTCCTCGTTAGATACTTCGAATCCTACCGAGATTCACTCAAAGGCGTTTGGGCTGCAGACTCGTCGCTCGCCGTACATCCGATATGGCGGCTCCTACAGACCCCAGGGTGCCGTTAATTCGGTCCGATCTGGAGCTAAAAGCGTTTATAAGGGTGAGCGTCAGGACATCGCGGCCATGTCTGGGAGCAATATCTCCATTTTTTTTTGCTTTTTCTGCTGTTACGGGTCATTGGCTGCAGACCCCCGGCATCGTGAACTGTGCAAGTCATGTTATGTAATTCATGTGCGCTACAAAAAAGCGGAAAAAATCCTTTGTCGCAGTTCCTTAGATCCAATTTCATAATTAACTGCCCATAAAGTACAGATGTATTCTTTCCATATATCAGGATATAAGGAAATTTCCGGAATCTCACGAAGAACTCATGGATCTAAACTCAAAAGTTAAAGAGAAAATCACTGAACTCAGACTACGGATTCAGGTCAGTGGAGCAAATATTTGGTTTGCGGTCCATAATTTGTATTTAAGATTGCGAGTTGGACACATAATATACTCACCAGGCGTCTTATTTTATAGATATAATTTGGGCTCATATGTGGACGAATTTGTTATATAGCCGTACTTAACCTTTTTATTAGGGCCTTTTTGCGATCAGTTCGGCAGTATCACCATCCGATAAGCGTCCATGAAACATTAAATGGCCGTTTGACGCATCCCGGTGCCTCATCGGAATATAACCATTGTTGAAAATACTGAGTGCCGTCATCACAAAATAAATTAGCGTTTAGTTGGAGTTATATGTGTCATTATAGGTGTCAGGAATTACAGTGAAGGCAAATGTAAAGTTCACTAAGGCTAATTTGCATTTAACTGTAGGCCTAATTTGTTGAATACGATTTTAACCCCTGACCCGCAGTTAACACTCATGTTTGTTCCGCTTAACATAGTGTATGCAATTAAACATTAATCGCAATTGATACTTTTAATGATCTTGCTCTTGCATGAAAAAACTGGATTGCTTAATACTCCATGACAATATTTGGCTTTCTTTAGACCCTTAACTGGTTTTTACTTCCTGGCAAAATTCTCCAAAATTGCACTGAAACGATAATTAAACAAAAAGCCTCGTTACTGGAGATGATGCGTTGAGTTTAAGTTAAAAATGCGCTTTTATACGGTGCACTTACCCAGTTACGAAGGTGTGATACTGGTATTGGTTCTCCGTTGATTTCCGTTAGAAAAACACATTATTTTGTTCGCATATTGCCCAGTATTTGGAGCGTTCAATGCTTTATCTAATTAATGCAAGGCTCCTAAACCTTGTGACCAGTATAATTCTACCAGCCACTTTATTATAATTGTTGATCAGTTGTGGTCACCCCATGGATTCTCAACTAACGTGACAGATTTTCTCGTATTGGTCTTTTTTATATAGTAGTATTTATTATTAACTGCGTGTACGCCCGTCATATAAATACTAGTGGTCAAACGTATTGAGTTCATGAACTGTTATTTTCAAAACTCCTTTCCACAGGATCTGGAGCAAACGGGTAAGGAGCAAGACAAGGAGTCCGAAAGACTCGCCATGCTCAGTGAGGCGGAAGGCTACCGGAAGCGGCTGCTGAGGTGACGTGGCACTTCGTGGCTTTTCATTGGTCCTCTCTCTTGAAAGGTGCTGCTGCTATCCAATGAGAGAAGGTGTTTATGGCCCCTTTAGATTGAGCTGATTGCTATAGCGAGTAATGGAATTTTGTGTCCTCACGTGTTCACGTTAGAATTGCAGATGTAAACAAGGGAGTGAGTGTTTCTCACAGTCCGCTATATCTATTCAGGTCGCTGGTTTGATATTCACACATCCGTTAGTGTAAATGTATACAGGCACATTTTATATTAAGATGTTTTTGTCCAACGTTCCTTAAGACTTTGCCTTCTGTTTGCTGATTTTAAATATGTAAATTAACTCTTCTAACATTTTCTAGGCAGCTTACATGCCCAGGCAGTACACTGGAGGGCATTGTAACCCACGCACATTCATTTACTCTACTACACACTAAGGGCAATTGAGAGTCATCCATTTACTGTTCATTGCAATCGCATCATCAGAGGTTTGCCAACTGGTTTGGAACCGAACTGGACATCATCACTGCCAGAACGCCCAGGCTGCCTAATTACGCCGCCATATAACTAATTCAGATCCATTTCAAACTTGTTAAAACACAAGTAACAACTGATTTCCATTCATATTAATCGGATCAGTTACACCACAAAAAATAAGGATATAGTATGTTCCAGGGATCTGTATGTGCATTAAATGCGTAATGCAGTATTATTTAAATGATATGCTCGATACAAAATAAGATTAAGATTTTTTTATTTGGCTTTTGTACATAAGTACACGGGGAATGTTGTCGCCAGACATGTAACAGAGCTACAATAAAACAAAGGCATTCACAAAACGTGAAAATCGATGTTTAACTAGGAATTGCAGAAGTACAATATGAAATATGTAAAATAAATTTAAAAAATGGCTGAATAAAGTACAAATATATGAAATAAAAGGAATGGCTAGAGTAGACAATGAGTAAAGTGCAGTGTATGAACATTAATCCAGAACTGTATTAAGTTCATGTGCATCTCGTGAGTAAGCTTACGGTCTGCTGCGTGTAACATCCTTGTCTTTGGTGCATTTATTATTTGCAAAGGGTGCTTGCAGGGACAAACTCTGTGGTCTGTCCTCGGATCCAGAGCCCCTGAGATGGGATACCTGTGGATTAGCCCAGTTCTCGGAAACGGAGTGAGCGCGTCAGGGTCGGAGTGTGGCAGGACGCTGCGTTCACTCGTTCTGTCTTTCATTTCTTCGCAGAGACCAGACGACGTGGAGAAAAGCCAACCTGGCGTGCAGGATGGCCATCGACAGGCGGCAGCAGGAGGAGCTGTTCCGCGGTTCCGACGTCCCGCTGCGGCTGAGGTACCTGCGACTGCATGTCCGATTGGTTCCGGAACGTTCCCACTCTGCGTTCTGTGTGTTTTCACTTTTCTGCGTCATTTGCTGTAGTGTTACTAGGGGCTAGAGTGCCCGGCGAGGTTAGAACCTAGAGGTGCCCGGTGTGGGAGGGGTTAGTGTTTGTGTAGCACGAGTAAGAGGAGGGTTCAGGTCCCTTTGTTGTCGATGGCAACCAGGGATTGCTCCCCCAAATACTCTGGGGCTCGAGTCCCTCAGATGACACTAGGTTTGGGTCCCACTGTGGCAGGGGTTCGTGTTCCCTTGCACGAGGACCAGAGAGGATGGTGTCAGACCGGGGAAGGTTATCTAAAGTCCCCTACCAAGAATGTGGGTGGTTCAGCTCCTGCATTTCTTGTGACTTTGTTTAAATATTTATGAAAAATTATTTTTTTTTCCTGTGCATATTGTTGTGCTTATTTTTAAATCCCCTTTTTTGAAATGTCTGTAAAGCACTTTTTAAACCTTGTAGTTAAAACAGTGCTACATAAACAAACCTTGATTGATTGATTGATTGATTGATTGATTGATTGAGTGAATGATACTGTTCCCTGTCATACTTTGTTAAAATGTTGTTGTAAAGAGCTCTGGGAAGGGGGTAGATTCTCATTGGGTAGCACTGTGGCCTTGCGGCTTACCGTGAGGTTGCGGGGTCGATTCCCTGCGCTGTCATGGGTTCCCTCTTGGAAATCCATTTGGACATGCTGGGCTACGTTTCTCAAAAGCATGGTAGCTAACAGTATTAGCGACTTACAGTATACAACAAAACTAGGTACATTCCTGGCCAGTATCACTGAAATGGTAAGAAAATACAAATCCCCTGAATTTAATACATTTTTATTTATTTATAGCCAAAGCCCAATAAGGATAAAACCAATTAATTTGAGACATAATTATTTGACTAATTAAATAAGGAAAGGTCCCTATTTAAGAACCCACAACAATAAACATCGGTACACCCTAAATCAGTGACATTCCATTCTCATTTTTTTTTCACATTTTCTTTTTTCTCTGCCTTTATTTTTGATGACTCACTTGTACCTCCTGGGCATGGATGATGCTACTCTCGCACAAATCTGTGGGGAGACTTTTCTTCTTCACAGATTAATGTTTTCTGCTGCTTTTTGCTGGAGGGGTTTTGTCGCTTCTCCCTTCCGCTTTAAAATAACGCAGAAGTGTTCTGATGGATTCAGTTTAGGAGACGTACTTGGCCCAGTTCAAAGTTCTCGCTCTTGTTTTTTTAAAAACTGCTGTGATTATTATTTTTTTTGCAGTGTGTTTGGTAGCACTGCATGATAACACATCTCTGTATAACTGCATACACCGAATTTATACAGATTACTAACTTTTGGGCCTCACAAAATGCCTCTGATTAATATTTCAGGCGTACTACCAAGTAAACGTTCGTATAGCACCAAAAAATTGCCATCCGGGCAAATGTTTACGCCTCGCCAAACATGCCGGACCCCGTCTGATCCACATACATTTATTTTGGTTTCATCTGACCGAAGAATGCTCTCGCAATATTCATCAAGTTTCACTGTGGAAATACTCCTTGGCAAAGTTTTATCTTGCGGCTGTATGTTGTTTTGTCAGCATTTTTCTTTTTTTTGGGCACCGTCCATAGAGGCTAACTTCATGTAATGTCTTTTGTATCTTCGGAGAAGTCGCCGAGACACATTTCTATAGATAATTCTTGTGCCGGGTCCGAAGTACTTGTCCGTCTGTTTCGCAAGGTTTCGCAAGGTTTCGCAAATAGCAAATTGTGCATGCCGTCATTTTAAAGGACGACCACTGCACCTTCTGTTCTTCGTAGTATCTGTCTTCCTGTACCTCCTAACCACTGCTGAAACTGTGCGTTTTGCGTATTTTCAGTAGGCTACTAATACAGTACTTTTTTTTTTTTTTCCCCATTCCCATCTTTATGAAGTCTCACAATCTGGTTTCTTACTTGTTCCTTACCATGTGACGCCATGCTGCATTTGACACAGCCTACACAGAAATTGTGACCGCTGTGATGTTTGCAGGTCATTTTATGACCCTGTTCATTGAAATGGTCTTAATTGGAGATCACAGGTGTATTCACTTTTGTTGCAGTGTTCAAAGGTGTTCTCGGATTTTATTGCATTGCATTGCATTTGAGGTCTGCATTTTCACTATAGTGAAAATGAAATGATCCCCTTTGATAGCTTAGCTGGTTGAGTGGAGGTCTGCAGAAGCATAATGAGAGACAGCCCTCGGTCGCTGGTTCGATTCTGGCTTGGAGGAGCGTGGAGTGGGCGTGGTGCATGGCTGGGAGTGGTTGGGAGACTGTGCCCAAGATCAGAAGTTTGCTGGTTCAAACCCCATGGTTAGCAGAGGAATTTCACCCCTGGACCCCTGTGCAAGGCCATTAACCATAATTACTTCAGGGATTGTCTGGTCTTGCTTTCTCAAATGTACTTGGATAAAAGCATCTCCTAAAGAAATATAATGAAAATCGCTTGTAGTGGAGGTGTGCCCTCCCTGGTACCCTGTTATATGTACAATAGGCGCTTATTTTAATGTGTCTATATACATTTTTAATGTGTGGTTGTAAATTTAAGATTGTCATGCTGTTTTGATAGATTTTGGGAATGGTCCAGAAACGGACATACGGAGACGGGACGTGAACTCGATTTTGCTAACCAAAGGTTGAAGGGAAAAACCTTTCTGAAACCTCAGTCGCCAAAATCTTAACTAAAACGGGAAAAACTGCAGGAGAACATAGAAGCACAAATACTCGGAATCAGGCATGTTACAAGTCGGCTTTTTTGTTCTAACAGGAAGATGACCAAAGCGAGTGTAGCCCAGACTGCCGGTCACATGACCGAGTGTCTAATGAGTGTCACACGCATGATGTCACAGCAGGTTAAAATGAGTGAGGAGACCATTGGAACTCTGGGTAAGTGGCCTTCTATGTTATATTTTGGGCTGCCAATCTCTGACTAAAGCTACAATACACCAAACGCTTAGAAACTACAGCTGCATTTTGTTGTCCAATAGATCAGGACTTGTTTAAATGCATCTTATTGTTGCGTTTTGATAAAATCAGGAAAGTGTTTAATTGGATGTTTCTGCCCAAGTTGCAAAAAAATTTTCTGTGACATTTCATTGTACATTTTCTCTCATATATTTTTCTCACCAGTGAATTGTTTAGAAATGATTTTCAAAGCGTATCGTTAGTTTGTATTAATTCATGGCCAATGGACCAGCCGTTTGAAGCTGGATTGTGTTTTTGAGTCTTTACAAACAATCAGATCTTAAATATTGTTCTCTGCATGCTCACACAATAAACCTTTGTCTAGCCTCTGTAAGTCTGCAAGCTTAAATGGTGAATATCACCATATCACAAAGACTGAGCGCCGTTCTGATCAGAGCTGGTCTTCTATGGGTTGGTGCTGGGAATTACGCAGGTGATTTGATGACAAGTTGTTGGTTCCCTTGTTGTTTCCATACTTTTGTGTTTGTTCAGAATTTTCAAATAGATAATCATAGATTTATTCTCAGTTTTCCTATACAGTTTCTCAGATGGAGCTGCAGCATATTGTGTCTCTTAAACAAGCAATAATCTCTTAAAAAGTGTTGGGTGAAGAGGGTTCATTTTGCAGCTGAAGCAAAACCGTAATGTCCCTGGTTCCTCTGTCAAATTAAAATGCTTATACATGCTGATGGATTTAAAAAAAAAAAAAAAAAAAACGATCTCTTCTCGTTAGTCTTTAATGTAAGCTTCTCATTTACTTGCATGCTGTCTGTCCGTCAGTGTCGTTTCTGTAAACGTCGATCAGATCACCCTGTGAGGTTTGAATATATTGAAATGACAGTTTGTCCCTAAGTATCTGAGATACTTCAGACCGTCACACACTATCATTTTCTCCTCCCAGCCACTTCTTCTAGAATACTGACAGAAACCAATGAAGAGTTTAAGTCAGTGACGGGGGCATTGCACTTGGTGACCAACCTCCTCACCAGGTGCAGTCAGCAAGATCTGATTGACGGGCTGCAGATCCTCCTCGCTCTGCTCCTTTTTCTGGCAACGGTTCTGTACATTCTGAAGAAAAGACTGACTCCCCTTTCGTAATCAAATGCCCAATTGCACCTGTCACGGATATTTTTCTTCTGAGAAAATGACAAATTAAAAAATGTAATAATGTAGTACCTCTCTTTAAAAACAATGCCATATATTTAAAAACGAAGTAATGTTATGTCCCTGTGGTAATATTCTGGTTAAGACTTGAATTATTAATAACCGGGTTAATGATTTATTTACCTTGGTCATTGATCGAATTAGTAATGGAAGAAATCCTTTGCAATAGTGGTTAATTTCCATTTGAAGTATATTAATGAACTTATTGAATATTTGTTCATTTGTGTAGCTTTGATCCGTTTTTGGATACCTGTTTGACATTCAAATAGGACTTAATTCTCTGAATTTCTCCCATCTTGGGCAGGTCCTCTGTTTAACCAATCGGCATGCTGGAGTGTTGTGCTCATTTTGCATTTATAAACACTGCTTCTGTTCTTGGGTGCCGGCAAATGTTGTCGCATAGCCAAAGAGATGCATTTTAAACACTAAATCTGAGGCAGCCACAGCCTCCATTCTGCCTCAGATATCCAGACATGCCAGTGCCATATGCACAGAATGTGTGAAATCACTTTATAAATGATGTCACCGTTCCAGTAATATTGGCTGAAATCGAATATGTGCACATTTTTATAAATAATGATATAAATAATATTTATTCTCTCAATGCTGATTGCGCTGTATTTTTCAAATCAAATAAAGTATATGCAGAAGCTGTAAGAGTGTTCTATCCTGCTATTCACATATAAAGTTAAATAATAAATGTTTCCTCAGTGTCTATAAACTGTGTCTTCTTAAACCACGTATTTGTAATGTTGTGTATCTGACACTGGAACCCACTTTATTTAAACGAATAGTGGAAGCCGAAGGTTAGAACACGTGCTGATGACCGCGACTTCTTCAGCATTTAGGAATAAGTAACATGAGTTATCTGTGTCTTCCGCGTCCTCGTATTAAATAAGTATAATAACTTATAATTAATTTTCAAACTCTGCTATTAAAATATTTTGGTAAAATTGATACGATATACATAGATAACGAATTAATCTGTCTATCCATCCATCCTGAGACTTGCAGTAAATAAAAGATCGCAATGCAACCAGGGAACTTCGTGTAGAATGGAATTGAAAATGACAGTTTGACAGATGGTAGTTAAGTCACAAGACAGGACCGCTTGGGGTCTGATTCTGAACAACTGTAATTTGAAGTGTCATGTAGAAATCGAAAAATTACTTGGTTTTCACCTAAAGTAATGAATCAATTCCGTGCGCGCAGGACCGCGACTTTATTTTGTAATATAGAATTTATATAATCTTAAATTCAGATTCCTCCGCCGTTTCTTAAAAAATCACGAAGGCTTACTTCTAAATTGCCAACTCGGCCTTTTTTGGTCATTTAACTCGTTTGCTCCATCACAATATTTCGCTGAGGCAGTGAATTTAATCACATTTGTTTAACGTTGACGAATAATAAGCCTGTGGTTTAGAACTTCGCTTAGACGGTGGACTAAAACGAATTCTACTTCACTTATGTTACAGAAACAATCGCGAAAGTGCATCAGCCCACTGGATTCATCACAATTCCGTAGTTCTGACAGTAATTCATATAAAACGGACCTCCGTTATAAAAACAATTTCTTTTCGTTAAAGTACATTGTTTTAAGATGGGGCTATCAGATATGGCACTTATTACGTTGTATTAATGGACATTTGCAGCTAAAATATAAATATTTGTAATTTACATAAAATTTTGTAGTTGGATTTCAAGAAATTTTAAGGACTGTAGACGTCATAGGATTTTAAGAGTGCATGATTTCGAAGCGCATCCGTCATGGCCGTATAGCATAAATGCAGTAAAAATGAATTACTCCCGGATTCATGTCAGTTTTAGTTACTCATTCAAATCACTTAATTCTTTATAAGACGTGCGACACCCGGGAAGGCGTTTAGTTGTTTTACAGCCAAGCAATAACTTCAAAATAATACATTGGTGTAGCCTAATATTTTGAGTTGTCTATCTTGTAAGACTGAACCTAAACATTTGCACGCATGTTTTAAAAACGTCAGATACAGCTCGATGCAAAATTATATAATTATTTAATTATCTAAGTAATGCCCACCTTTGATACTAACTATACCTTACGAAAATACATATTGGTTTAATATACGAAATTTAATTTATTAATTTTCTCCCCTTTCCAGTAGGCTATACATTAAACATTTAAATTGATAATGAAATTTCAATTTAGCAATTTTAGTAAATCATATTTCTTACGTATAAAATTGCGCGTGTTAGGTACACCCCCAAAGAACGGCTTTAACCAAGCAGTGCGTGAAACTATCGTGATGCACACGACAGTGCACGTTAGACTGCACTGGTGGGCCTACTGATTACCTCCCCATGAATGGGTTTAATTTACCTGACAAGTGAGATTTAATATCTTACTTTTTAATACAAAGTAACTCAAATAAAAACTAAATATTACCATACTGTGTGCGTAAGAAGCCATGTGTATACACGTATATGCTCTGTATCGGCATGCGATTGTAAGTTTTTAAGTAAAACATTTAGGCCTATACGTACAATTGCGAGAAAACGCCAGCGATTCTGTACGAATGAATATTGTGTCGGCTAATCGCGAGATGCGCTCTTCTATACTGACATTAATGAACGATATGGATTCTGTGTATCTATTTGTATGAAAGATTTTGGAATGATTTAATTAATCACTCTTGTCAACTGCATGAACATATATCTACACCACTTTTTAAATTAAATATCTTCTAATCGTTGCTCGACATAATCTTGAAAACGATGTACTTAAATTATTTTTTTTATTACACACAACTTATTGTGTAATGATTATATAATGCATGTATTTTAATTCAAGTTAATAGCCTGAAATTAAAGAATAAATATTGCGTGTCACATTATGTATCATGTATTAAATTAAAAATATGGATACTTTTGTTTCCGGGATGTTTTACTCCATGCAGTTCCTTCCTCGTCTGAAAGACTGATAAACGGTTTATTGAGTTATTTGTATATTTTAAGCGTTATTAAAGTTTTTAAAGTGTTTTTAAAGCAATTTGCATACGGTGATTTAAAATTGTTACGTGGGTTATTCTTTTAATCAATCTATGCCAATACACGTCTTAATTTAAGGTAAATGTCGATCATAAGTATTCTTCACTTGTATGTATAGGCTACAACGGCTGTAATTCGATTTATGAATGATTTTCGATACTCATTATTGCTCAGTTTATAAGGAAATAGAATATAAATATATACAATAATTTTATTTAAGGACTTCATATTTAAAGCGCATCGACATTTTTAACATCAAATTGATTCAGAAGTTTATCCGTATAAAAACGAAAACACTCCGAAATACACAAAGCCGTTTTGGGGTTTTTTTAATTTTTCTATCACCAAAAAATAATCCTTAATCACTGTCAATTTTACATTTTACAGTATTAATAATAAAAATGCCAAATAACAATAGGCAACCACCAATATAATCTAATAAAATTGCCGCAGTCTTACACATTTTTATGAAATTGACGAAAATGTCCAGTTATAGCCACAGTATCCTATGCTGTTAAAGACGTACGTGTAAATACATTACTATTGTTGCTGTTGTGTTGTTGTTGGTGATATAGCGTATTGATATTGAAGAGAGCATGTCCATATTTGCGATTAATAATTATAAAAATCCACCGCGCTTTGGAGATCATTTTAAATAACCGTTTCAGCGAGTAGTGTTATATATACTCTTTAAATTATTTTATTGGTTCCGGTTTTGTTGTATGGGTTAATGAGAGAACGACGCAAAGTGGATTGTTCATTCACCAAAAAAAAAAATGTTTAATTCAATGCGTTTTACCCGAGAAACAAAGGAGTGCGTCTAAGATTCTTGGGAAAGACCGGATTTTATACATCCGTTTTCAGTAACTGCTTTATCCAGACGGGGTCGCGGTGTCACAAGATAGAGGACCATTACATTCCTTTGTCTGGCTTTGTTCGGAGCGAACAACAGCTTATTGTTCATATAAAAAGCCGGAAGCGGAAACCCCACGCTTTTATATTCTTATCAAAAACAGACTCACGCTACAATTTTCTGTTCTGGGTGGCGGGATTCTCCTGTCCTGGCGCCAAGGAATTTTTATCACTCAGCTCTCAAAGAAAAAGGTCAGTCGCGCTCAACTGGAAGTCTACAGTGGAAAATAATTTGAAATCAGAGTAAACAATTGACTGACGTCATAATAGAGACTGTACCGCCAGCGCAGCCATCAACGTGAATACTCGCAGCTATCAATTTAATGTAAGATCAGGACTCATCGAGGGCCTAGAAACTAGGATTTGTCTGCCAATGCTTGCTTTACACTAGAGGTAAAAGCCTTTATTTCAACTGAAAGGAACTGTCGATGATTCAATAACCCCGAAGCATGCGTTGACTCCCATAAAGGCATAGCAAAATAATTATGGGCCCTATTCACTCCTAAATTTCCCTTCGCGGGACTAATAAAGTTAATCTTATCTTTCTGCAAGTCAAGGCTATGGAAACAGATACTCCATCTACATGTATCTGCTCTGCGACGACTGCTGGGCACCTAATACAGTTAATCTTCTCCCCCAATTAGCAAACGGTACCTTTAAAATCATGGTATCTTGTTTATTTTGGCTCTTTAACGTGTACACCTCTCTCTTAAAGATGGAGGGCATGTCTCCAGTGATTAACTTTCCCTCTAGCTGTTCGGCAATCCATAAATCAAGCAGCTCCATGCCCTTGATGCGTGGCATCACTCCCAGCGCGAACAGCTTTGAAAAATCTGCATTTCTTACAGCAGCTGAATGGCAACAATGAATGTCTCCTGCGGTTTTGGTGCTGCGCTTCTTTAACGTCGCCACCTGGCGTTTCTAGATGGTAACTTCACCATGAAATGAAAATTCCCTCTTATAGGGAATATCACCAAATTGCAGGGTTTTGAAGAAGAGTGTAAAGCAAAGCGAAAAATTTCCATTAATTAGGTGTGACTAAATATTTCTAGGTTTTCCCCCACCTATTTAGACATAGCCACACCTACGTTTTAATTTTGTGCATCGGTTTTATCTGTTCAGAAGAAAGTCTGAGATTAACTTTTATCGACTGTTTACACATTTGCAATATTGTGGACACAGAATTATTAGGCCTATTCTTTTTATTGCTTTTATTCTAGAATAGGATCTCCTTGACCAGGGATAGTCAGGCAGACTGCTTACAGCCGTAAAAAAAGATGACAGTATTTGTTTATCCCGAGGGTCATTATCCTTTTCCCCCTCTGGTAATATTATGGTTTCTGATGCAGCGCCGCGTCTAACCACTGAAGTTTCTCGTTACACAAGATGGATTCGCACGTGCGGCCAGCGACGTGTAATGATGACGAAATTAACGTCACGCAGACGAGGGAAGCGCCAATTCTTATGCTCCTAACAGCTGAAAGCTCGTTTTCCAGCCAGCTGATCATCTCATTAGTGTGTTTTAATGAGTGCCGCTTAGTGTCTTAATTTCCATTGTGCAAATGACGCTTTCTTATTACCGAACGCTAAAGATTTGCAGAAATGTGAGTCCAGCAGTAGGTAGGAGCACTGAATAGCCTACAAGAAGCGCCTTTGAAATCACACAGGACATTATAATAAAAGAAGCAAACGCTGCTTTCATTAAGTCATACATCTTTATAAAATGATACCTGATTTTCAGAACAAAGTTTGCTGACTGCGTTGATCATCCAAGCCGCAATGTGAATATGGAACGTCGTAATCCGTTTGAAGGATATAGAAAATAAAAATGAAAAAAACCATTTACATATAGACAAACAGAAACCTTCACAAATAAGGGATTAACAGATTTTAATACCCTGTTAAAATCAAATGAAACTGGTTTTTATCTAACTTATTAAAATAATATATACAAGATCTAGGGTTACATCAACTTGTTTTCTCTGTGAATACTGAGTTGAAAGACATACCAGCTAGGACATAAAAAGCAATGCTGTGAAACCTTAAGAAAAAACTTTGCTCTCATGATGCAAAAGTTTGACTGTTTTCAAAATACTGAAATATCGCGTCTGCTGCTTAAGATGTCACCCAAAGCCTGAGGCTGTGGAGATGCACCGACCCAAAACGGCACACAGGGGGCGCCGCACTCCATCTCCCACTCATCCAATACCGTTCCTGGAATTCGGAGAACCGTCTCGGTACGCATAACGTTTGCAATAACGGCTCTCGGGTCAATCTGGGTCAGCTGACACAGAATTCGACAGCGAAATTCGTTAAGACGTCGTCAGACAGGTGAGGTAGGGGCTGTATCATTGAATAATAATAATAATAATAATAATAATAATAATAATAATAATGAAACTGCACCCCGTGCAAAAGGCAGGAACGCACACGGCCTGGAAGGTAAACAGAACGGCGTTACACAACACTGGGGTCAAGTCCGTATTTGTCAAAAAAAAAAGAAGAAGAAATGCCTATAAAACAAATGTCTATAGAGTTTATACAAGTCTGGTACTGATAGACCCCTTTGATCAATGCGGCTTAGATTTACTGAAAAGCCGCGCTCTGGATGTGACCTGAGGTAAGGTTATTTTGAATTCGATTCTAAAGACGTATGATTGTGTCCGCGCGGATGATAGTGACAGGGTTGCCAGCTTCGGTCAGCTGGATGGAGAGGGATTTTCTATTCGAGGAAAGTCTGCGCTCATATGCACACGCATTTAAATGCATGTAACAGTTTTATTACCTTGTAAATGGTCTGTATAGGGTTTGCAAACTACCCCATAATTTTGATGCAGCTAATTTTAGTTTTATAATGGAATCATATATTATCCCTAAGATCGCCTGCGTGACAGTCTTAGTGTCACGCCAGATGCGTGAGAGCTGACAACCCTATAGTGGATTGATTAGTTTGCTCTAGGGTTCCTCGAGCTAGTCCAACTGGTGTGATTCAGTAACCGTAATCACGCATGCGCACATGTTTGAATTCCGAGGAAGTCAGTGGTCAGGTGCTATACTGTATGTCAGATCTCATCTGTAAGGCTATAAGGTTATTAATAGGGCGGCAAATGAAGCCGCAAAGGTTCATATTGTATGGTCAGATGCGCCAAACCGGGTGACACCAGTTCTGTACGGTTTGCTTGCGGTCAGAATGGCCACACAAACATGTCTAGCATTAACAGAAACAATAAAAGAACATCAGAGAGTATAAGTCCAGACCAAGATTTTGTTTCAACCAAACAGTTGAGTATAAAGAGTCACAGTCACAGAGTACTCAACCGATTGGTTGAAACAAAACCTTGGTCTGGATTTGTACTCTCTGGACCTGAAATCTCAAAACCATATATGACACGTGTCTGCAGACCAATTTGTGCTTCTCTTCGAAGTTATGGTTTTTGCATACTTACTAAAAATGCAAATGTTTTGCGTTTATTCACATATTGTTTAAGGATAAAAAGATATATGCACATATATTAAAGTAGGATTTAAAAATAAATATTCGGAAGGGTGATTTTATTTAACTATCAGATTACTTTGACTTTAGCTAGATTAAAGTTGAAGAATAAGTTACATTTTTATGGGTATCTTGATGATAATGACAATAAATAAAGACGCCTGCAGCAGGTACAGGGGCCAAAGCAGCCTACACAGACACCCACAATCCTTTGCAGCTCATTTCCCATTTGCTTAAATTCAAGGAGCTGAATATTTCTGCACCATGTCTGTTTACCGCCCGATCTGAGTGTCAGATATGCATAATATATAATTGTACATATAATTTTACATCTGGGAGTCTACATAACGTTCATAATCACTTGGACATATATTGAAATCATAAACTTGCAAGTCATGTAACCAAGCAGTGCATTTTTGTTTGACTGCCTATTTTCCAAAGCTTACTGTCAAAATAAAAGTCCCCCTTTTCCTGGCTGGGGATTCGCCAAATATAATATAACACTCAATGCGCACCTGCAGTATACGGCCCCTTAATATTAATATAATGAAATTAAAAATGGAAAGTTGGTCTTTAAATGACAAAAACGTGTCGTCACGCCAACCCTGTGAAGTTAGTTGTAAAGACTGGGAGTGCTGGATGGTGGAGTTTGGGTGCCATGCTGCTTTCTGTCCCTCTGTCTGTCTCCGGTCAGCACTGGACGGGCGGTGGGCCAGAGACAGTCTAGAGTCTGGGAAGACGGAGACGGGGGCAGATCAGCGGCCGCCATTTTTCACCTTCGGAAGTCTTTGTGCTCTGCAGCCGCCTGGCGAGCAGCCTCTGCGGAGAAGTGTCCTTTCCCCAAATTCGGGGTTCGGGGGAAGCCCACCCTGCCTACCTTCGCCCTATCGCCCTGCCAGGGGGCCACGGAGCGCTTGCTGTGCGTCCCTGATGGGTGCGGCTGGTGCTGGGAGTCCCTGGTGTGTCGGAGATGCTCGGGGGTGGGTGTGGGCGGCGTCTGCGGCTCCGGCTGTCCCAGCGAGCAGAAGCTCAGACTCTCGCACAGGGCCCCCCAGTTCTGCTCGCACTGGAGCCTCACGCTGCGGGTGATGGCCTCCTTCACCAGTTCCCCACAGCCCAGCAAGATGTTCACCAGCTCCACGTATGGCCTGCGTGACCATGTTGAGACACTCAAGAGGGGGAATCCCAGGAAAGGTCACCTGCTCACAATCATGCACATCAAAGTTCCAGCCACTAGACTTTGCTGCCCACTCTCTATCGATCTTTATGTGTATACTTAATATCTCGTAATATCTTACTTTAACTGCACCCTCATAATGCATTCATAGAACATTCAATGCACCTTCATAATGCACTCATAGAACATTCAGTGCCCCTTCATAATGCATTCATAGAACATTCAGTGCCCCTTCATAATGCATTCATAGAACATTCAGTGCACCTTCATAATGCATTCATAGAACATTCAGTGAACCTTCATAATGCATTCATAGAACATTCAGTGCACCTTCATAATGCATTCATAGAACATTCAATGCACCTTCATAATGCATTCATAGAACATTCAATGCACCTTCATAATGCATTCATAGAACATTCAATGCACCTTCATAATGCACTCATAGAACATTCAGTGCACCTTCATAATGTATTCGTAGAACATTCATGCTTTAGCAGTTGCAGTATACATTAATAAAGACATTATATGATAATAAACATTACTATAATATTATACTATACTATAGTATGCTACACTACTATAATGTTTGTTATTGATGTATAATAGTTGTGAAAGCATACTTAACTGCTGCTTATGAATGTTCTATGAATGCATTATGAAGGCACACTGAGTGTTACTTAATATTTTATGTATATTATATGTAGATATGTATATCTTACATTTTTAGCTTCTTTTTTTCTTTCCTTAATATTTGCATCTGTGATTAATATGTATATTTTACCTACTGTGTCGTTTTTGCCTTGTCAGCGGAGTAAACTAAGTTTCTTTGTAAAGCCACTGCACAGATGGCAATAAATAGCTTTAATGTGAAACTAATTAATCCTGATTTAGCTTACAACATGCTATTCATTAAAAATAAGGTGACTGGGAAATTTAAGTGAATTTGCATGAATTAAATAATGTGATTCTTGCACCTCACAACATGCATCATGCAATCACGCTGTCAGTGTTATACTTAAGAATATTCCTCGGTTGGTCAAAATGTTATAACCTAGTTGGTTCTAATCAAACCTTACATATCCTTGTGTATAGAAAATCGTCATTGGTCATCGGGTGGTCACCTGACCTGTAGAAGCTTGGAGGAAACACCATGCTGGTTTGAAAGTGACTTCACACTTACCCCTTGGAGAAGAGGTCTTGGAAATGAATCATCTGCACCATGACGTTGACGTTCTCCTTGGCGGCGGAGCAGAGGTTGTGCTTGACGTAACAGTCGCGCTGCAGCTGTAACACCATGTCCTTCACGGCCAGGCATTTGCGGCTGATGCAGCTGAACTTGTGTCTCAAACCGTGAGCCATGCACTTCAGGACGTCTTTGATGAAGGACTTTCCCTGTGCAAACCGCAAGCCAGTGTGTTAAACAACTAATAAAAGAAAACCCAACATAAACACAGCCTCGCTCAAGAAAGGATTCTTTTGCAGATTAAAAATGTCCTTTGCAAGTGGTTTGAGAATAAAATCATGCGTTAAGATTATGATTGTTTTTTCCCCTTTTCACCCTAGACGGAATGTTCTGGAAAAGTTGACTCTCAGGTTACAATGGCTCAAGCCCACAGCTGTGACTTTAAACTGGCCCAAAGTGCGTGCAGGGGCCGGAGGGGGGGGGGGGGGGGGGGGGGGGGCGGATGGGGTCAGATACCTGTGAGTTGAACTTGCCGGCGTTGTGGAGGAACGTCATGCAGATCTGCTGCAGGCCGTTTATTTCGCAGGAGTTGTTCTCAAAACACTCGAACACAGCGCAGCCCACGTCCCCAGCGCTGAGCAGACAGTGCTGGATCTCTGCTGTTAATGAGATGTTGCAGAAGGCGATGAAATCCAGAGCTCAAAAACACTCTTCTAGTTCCATCCAACCATCCATCCACTGCAGTGTTGCATAAACCTGGAGTCTATCCTAGGCAGATTAGGGCACAGGGCAGAGCGACCCCCTCTGGCCAGGATGCACACAATAATCCAACAACCGCAAACTATCGGATCTTTAGAGACAGCATTTCACCTAACTGTCAATGAATGGTGACTTGTGTGATACTGTGAGAGTGTGCAAACACACCCATCAAACCCCTCGATAAAGACATGCTAGGAGAATCTAGGTTTTTATCGGCCTACAGGTAATTCATAACCTTATACATCAATCAGGCACGTATAGCCCCTCCCACCCTGGATAGCAAAATCTATCAAGGGGGACCCCACATGAAATTTAATTCTGGCTATGGGCTTGTCATTGATTATTACAAAGTGTACATTTTTACTGTAATTCATGCGCACTGACTGGTAAGTGTCCTTCATTTGCTTGTTAGGTTAGGTTATGTTTTTTTTTTTTTAAACTTGCTTCGTTTTGACTGGTAAAGTCTGAGTTACATCTTGATGGGACATCGGCCACAATCCTTAAAACGTCCCTAACATGCCCTGATTCCCATAACCTGGTTCAAGCGTGTGCACAGATTCTCAGTGAGGATGCATGGAAGTGATTTAAAGCCAGTTTAGGTTATTCACTACGAAACAAATAAAGAAATCACATTTAGGTACAGATTAAAAGGGGAAGTATCGTTGCTTAGTGCCCCCCAGCAGAAAAAGGGTGAATTAATTTCTCAATGGGTTCGGGGGAAGTTTCGTCAAGATCCGCAGTGAATGCGGCCAATCATTGCGGCGTAATGAGGATCGTCTTCCTCCGAACGATTATAAATGCAATTTAACCTATATTACCGTGATCAGGAAAAGTCTCTTAGAACGTATCAATGCGGCTTTTTTATTTTAATTTCTTGTTTCAGTCCCATTCGGCCAGTGTATAAAAGTCGATGGACATCAGATGTTTTGGGAAAATGTGAGTGTGACAGGATTCCTCCCCCCCACAAAAACTCCTAAAAAATCACTTGGAAACGGTCTGACGAGGTATAGATCACTTGCACCGAGGGAAGGTAAGTGTTACTTCGCACGAAATGAAATCGGCGCTTATTTTAAACCCGCCAACACATTGATCTTGAGAGTTAAGGTAAAGCGCCGTTCATACATACTGTAGCGACGAAGTGTGGGGAACAAGTGGCGGACTCCCTATTAACGCGTCTATTGAACCGGGAGAGGCAGACGCGTGTTTATTTTAGAAAGCTCGCAAATGAAAAACAAATACAGTTCGCATAAAGTTTGCATTATGATAAATAGTCCATATATAGCCCGGCGCAGGTGTACAAACTAATTACACACAAGTGCTTAAAAATAACTCCCAACTCGAGCATCTGTAGGTTGAGTTGGCCGTAACCCACCAGTAAATGTCGACCTGTCAGCAGAAAAGAGCCTCTGTGGACGAGGCTCGGGGCTGAAGGGACTCATGCGAGGGGAGAAGCGAGCCGCTGTTAGCGCTGCTTGTGTTGGCATTTGCACGGGAATGTGCCTGGATCCCCTACAAGCCAGTGGTAGCGCGCGCGCTGCATTGCACACTGCTGTGATGAACTCTTTGAATATTAAGCAAACTTACACTCAGACGCAGCCTGTTATTGGATGTTATTAGACCTTATTTACGCTTTAGTTCTCAGACATTTTCCTGTTAATAGAGCTCTGTTTTGACTACAGAAATGTATGATGTATGACGCATGGGCGTCGTTAGGTCCGATCACTCGGGGCTATAGCCCCCTGCACGTTAAGCCTATCCCTGGGTATTTTAGCCCTGATGCCAGTCTTTCTTCAAAGAAGAAAAAAAATTCAATCCCCAGGTAAACTTCACTTAGAACCCTGATCTTTTCAATACCTAAAAACTCCTCTGGTTTGACACATTGCACTTATATATATAGCTAAGTACTGTTACAACAAGAAAGCTCTGCACATATGCTCGAATATCATACCGTTCATAATATATTGCAGCAATCTGAGATTAATATGTTGTGGATTAATAAAATGTCTCCATGCTGTATTATATGTCTACAAGCAAAAGTTTATACATATAGGCTATACGTGCATATATACTCTTTTGGTCACACTTTTCACACTTGTTACGAAGAATTTTTTTTTTGCAGGTAATTTACAGATGTTCTGCACAGTTCCATTAAATGAGCATTTAGGAAGTGGTCTCAACTTACCGGTGTTCTGCAGAGAAATTCGTCCCTTCGCTTGACTTGCGAGTTTTTCTTGTGGCTTCATGTGAATATCGAGGACATCCGTCCCAGTCGCTTGTTCAACGGCCGACAAAACGGCCAGGAAGAGAACAAACTGTACGATCATCGTTTTTGCTTGTGAGGAAATGCTACCTACTTCTAAAATGCGGCAATTAGAATTTTATGTGTATTTATTTAAATAAACTCCGCTCCTCGTTTGTCATGAACTTGCAGCTGTTGCAAATCTTTCCCAGGACAGTGCAGACAGTGAGCATGCATCCGGGATGGATGCTGCCTATATTTCTGTAAGCCGTGTTGTCATTTTTTTCGCTCCTTTTTTTTTTAATGAAGGAGTTCGGTAGGTTTTGTTAGTCGTGGCCCGCGACCAATCAGAGGCGCGGGCGGCCACGCTTATTTCGCGGGGGCGTGATCGTAGTAAAACTTCTACCAATATTGACTGAACGTCGGCCTCTGGATGGGTGGCATTAGTGGTCTGGTTATGTGTTTTCTCTCATGGGTTACTGGAATCCCTTCACATGACATGTGGCATTAAGCTCGCCACGTATACCCTGTATTGACCTGTTTTGATCTGAGCCGTTATTGCTTCGTATCTGTTACCGCACATAATTGTAACCGATTGCATGACGGTAAAATCCAGTTAGTCAAATGAAATTGCTAAATATATAATAGTTAATAACGTGTGTGGAAACATGGGATTTTATTAGGGAAACAAGCTAGACTCTCAGGAAAAAAGAGTAAATAGTAACTTTTCTTGTCACTGGGGCTGTACCCTCAAGGGTCTGCCAGTTGTACCCTTAGCTGTAGGTAAATGTACTTTTTAAGGTACAGAAATGGACTCGGGAACATTTCTGTACCGTTGATGGCACATAAATGCTGTTTGTACCTTTGGGATGTTCTTCAGAGTCCATTTCTGTACCTTTTAAAGGTACAACTGGGTACAGCCCCAGTGACAAGCAAAGGTATACATTTTTACCAGTTTTTCTGAAAGTGTAGTAAATGTGTGTGTGTATGTGTGTGTGTAGTATCTGTGAATTTTATACACCATAAACACAAATCCTCAATCCCAATATGGCAGTTAGACTGTGTGAACCGCATATTCGAAAGGAATTCCGTTATGAACATAAAGCCGTGGAACTAAAGGATAATTATCAAGATGGACATCCTCAAAGAAAAGGATTATTCAAGGCAATATTCTATGAAAAAGCCTTACACGTAGGAATACTTTGTGGGGACCTGGGAAATGGCCGTCTGTTGTGACCTTTCTGGCAGGTCTTCGTGGTCCATGAGGCCGCGTTCAGCATGACCATAAGCGTGAAGCTGTCCTGGCCATCACACCTGACTCTGCGTAAGTGGGGCATCATGTCACACTGGGATCTTCGTTCCGCCTCTCCTGCAACTCGTGCGCCGATCATCAGTGGGACATCTGTTGAGAGTGCCGATACTTTCTGACACGTTACGGATGCGCTTACATGATCACTTAATACTACATCTCAACAGAGACTGTGCTTTGACTTTCTGAGGCGCCTCAGGGCTTTTGGCATCGGAACCTAAGCTACTGCGAACTTCTGTCGCTGCACGATAGAAAGTATAAAGCGTCACATACTCTACAGTATGGATTGGCAGTCTAACTGTACAAGACTATACACTGTTACAGATGACTGTGAAAACAGCAGCTGTACTGAACCACCATGACTCCATGATATCTACACCGTCCGCTGCAGATAGAGAGCCACAAATATTATTAAGTTCAACAGCCACCCTGCCCATGCTTTGTTCTCGCTCCTCCCATCTAGGAAATGCTACAAGTTTATTAAATCACATACCACACGTATGAGGAACAGCTTGTTCACTTCCCAGGCAGTGAGATTGCTGAACACTCAGCACCTCCACAGATCAAGTACCTCATTGCTATAATGAGGCTCAAGCACCTTACAGTCGGACTCACTGTATTAGGCTACAATTGGAAACATGTTTTATTATATGATTTTTATTGTCAGGTTTTTATTGTATGTTTTTATGTAATGTAGAGAGAGAGCAAGAGCACAAGTATTTCACTTTAAATTTCTAATACATATGACAATAAATTTGAACTTGAACTGCCGCGGCATCATCATGGAATGTAAAGATTTTAAGACGGTCTGCAGCATTCTAGGCCGTCCTCTGCTATGCCGGACATGAACATGCGTCTTATCGGTCATGCTGTGCTGCATCCGTTTAGGAATCCTTGTTCTCAGTGAGCGGCGCTGGCACTGTGGTCCCGCGCGGGAAACGCTCTATTCATCCAGCGGCGTTTAAGAAATTTCATTCAGGCATTGGCTGGCGCCGGGCCTCACCCTCCCTGACTTCCAGAACCTCACCCGGGCTGGAGGGCGTGGCGATGAGAACCATGTTGACTTGATGACTTGAAAATGCACTTTCTGATTCAAGAATCAGTCTTGCTCTTGGGTTTTTTTTTGGTTGGGTCTCAGTGACGAGTTTCCCAGGATCGTATGGAGGGCAGAATTCCTAACCCCTCCCTGGAGTTGCGTCATTTGCCAGTTGCCCCACTACCGCCAACTGCTCTGGGCCAGCAGATACAGTACACACTCGTAGGCTTACGAGGACTCTTGACTAATCTGAGCATCCTTATTGCATTATAAGCAGTTATGAATGGTCTTGACTAAACATTAAACTTCATCATATGGTCAGGTAAGCTTGCAGTACTGTGCACGGGTGTTAGTAGACATTTATGAAGTGGGGGAACTGACCCTTTACTTGGGGGGGGGGGGGTCTTTTGGAAATAGCACACTGTTTAAGCTAATTAGTATACCTTTATTGCTTTATTTGGAGGGGAACAGCCCTAGTAACGCCCCTGGCCGACTAATTTAATCTCTAGTGCATCTCAACATACTGAGTACATATTTTCATTAATTTAGCTCACTGGACTTCTCACACACGAAATGACAGAATCCTGCTTGAGGGTGTTCAGCCCTTAGCCCTTAGTGGATATTTTGCTGTCTGGATCATCAGTAAGACTTTCGTCTGGAGAGCTTGCTTTAAATAATCCATGACAGGTATTTTTAGAAAATATGACTAAATGTTGAATAAAATGCGACCTTTTTAGTCAGGGACAAAGTCCTTTTCATTCATCAATTTAACTCCACGAACACAACAGAGTGTCTTTCGGACAACTGATTACGATGCGACGTTAACTGAGCTATTTTTGTCAGATTTGCAGACGTGTCTTAAAACGACTTATCGTGCCCCTTGTGCGTTACGCCTTTAAGGTAGTATCGCTACAGAATAGCAATATGAACTCCGGAGAATAAGCGACGCGACATGCCGTAGTTTAGAGCAAGTGTCTCTTATGATGTGCATATTGAGTGGAAACGGTATTAAAACTGGATTCTGGTGTCAGACAGAGAACTGAAGCATACCAAATGATCTGGCTTTAAAAACAAAAGCTAAAAGTAGCATTCGTTTTTGTTGATCTCTTTTGGGCCAAGGGTGAGTTGATCTATAATAAAACAATGAGGCGCGGTGCTGAATGACAGATCACTAGTGAAGTCCATGCTATTTTAGCTATGTAAATATTTATTCGCCGCCTGCCTTGAGATCGCCATTGATTAAACTGATGTCTGTGACTGGCACTTTGGCTGTGAATCTCAGGTCAGTTATGCAGACACACCGAGGCCATTCTGGAGTCACAATTTCATCTTTGGAAAAGGGGATGGGTGGGAATGAAGTGCTCAGAGGAAATTCCGAGCGACTCCTATCTGAGAAACCATCACCGCTTTCTTCACCTTGCTGCTGAAGTTCTTAGTTCTTTATTCCCTTCTGCAACCTCCTGAAGAGGTTAAATGAACGTGCTGTCATTGCATTTTATTAGAATAATACTCCGGGATACTGGATAAAGGGCCATTATTACTTGGCGCTTCTCAATCTCAGAACTGCACTGAGTAATAAATATTTCCATTCTGGACTGACCTAATTAAATGACTTCTGGTGTGAATCTTAAAGCTGAGGGGGACTTATGGTTAATCGTCATTCATGCTTCTGTGTACATTTGTGCGCAAATGTTCTCTGTCAGACTGTTTTCCACTGCACGTATTTCGGATTAAACCCTCCAGAGCTCGGACCCCAGTTGCCGCTTTACGTTTGAGGCTTACCATCCATGCAATAGCTGTGTGCGTATCCTATATTTCCTGGAACATTGTGTTACTTTTTCTCCTGTTGTCCTCTGTAAAATACATTAAGCAGGAGCTCCTCTCTGGCTTCGGCTGAGTCACACACAATATTTACAGTTCACTCGAAGCACATACTGTCCCTGACCTCAGACAGAGGCTGAGCATGTTATGTAGTGGACACGTTCAAAACAACCTGTCTGAACGCTTTTTTTGCCTCCCAGCCAATGCCAAAACCTTTACATAAATCCACTTCAATGTGATGAACTCCACTGGAAGAAATATGTACGGCTGATTTGCAGCCAAGGATTTAACGTCGGTTTGCGTTTCCGTCAGCTTTCGTCGCTTAATGCTGTCGGTTTGCAATGAATCGTGGGAAACGGCCCCGCGTTGCCCTCGACGCTGATGTCGTTATGTGGCCCGGTCGTCGGCAATTGGACAACGGCGTCCTCGCAGAGAAGGAAGGATGGGACAAGGAAGCGTGGCAAGAAGATGACAGCTGGGCTAATTGACTTTCTGACCTGCTGATCGGCACATGAAAGAAGCGACCCTGTATTTATAGATTAATGAACACTGTCTGTGACATCAGAATCAATTTGGTCAAGGGTAGCTTCTAGGAAATCTTATAAAGTTATAACTAGTGGGGGGTGGGGGGGGGAGGTATGTGGCTCTATGCTAGGACTCTGTGTCTGGTTGGAATAACTTCACTGTTGGGCCCATGAGCGGGACCCTTAACCTCAATCGCTCCAGGGACCGTCTGCCAATTGCATGTCGTTTTGGATAGAAGCAGCTGTTAAATAAACAAATGTAATATAGTTCAGCAGAGCTGTGAAACCTCTGGGGGCCGCAGGTGGCGCAGGGTTCAATGACACAGTGAACACAGCGACCAGAAGGTTGTTGGCTTGTATCCAACAAGATGTCTTGCTGTAGTACTCTGGGTAAGACATGTCACCCTGACCAACCTGGTAAACTAAGCAGCTGCATGAATGGGAAAAAGTGTAATCCGCTCAGATCAAAGGCAATCAGTGTAGGGATTGAAAAATCATAAGTAGATGTTGTCATTTTAAACTGTTTCTTAACATTAGTCAATAACATTGGAGCAATTAAAGTACTGTGGCATGCCGGACACCGCTAATTAGC